TGCCACAGTAGCAGCAGCACTCCTCCCTCTTGGGAGTAACACGCAACCATCTTTAAAATGACTGTGAACAGAATGACAAAAATTCTCCAGACCTGCTCCTCCTTTCTTATTCTCAAATTCTCTAGATGCAACTGGCATATTTACATCAGTTTCTTAATGTCTAACGGGTATGAATCCTTTGGTGTTATTTTAAGAGCTCACATAATCTTTCCCCTTCTTTACAGAACATTATGAGAAATTAGGAGGAGTTTGGTTCGAAGAAATTGGATCCTTAAGATATTTTATTCTGATTTTTCTAAAGAAAGCTTAGAACGACCTTTCCAGCTTAAGTCCCAGGATAAGGCAAAAGTTATTGTTCTACCACCTTTCTTTTGTGAGGAACTACAATAACATTTTCTATTCATTTCAGAAATGGACTGAGGACTTTGACAAGATCGCTACTTCCAGTCTGTATTGTCATCTTAAATTATATTGCTTTCCATTAAGTTGTTCGTTATTAGAAGATTCCTATCAGACAGCTTAGTACCGGAAATCGTCCAACACAGATACAGTTTTTATGGGCTCCAAGTCTGAAATTTGTTTCTAAATGAGAATCAAAACAGCGATAAAACAATCCCTAAGAGTTATACTACTGTAACTTAAATGTGGGAGTAAAATTAATTGCAATGGCCTCGTGCACTCAAGTTTCTATTTTTGAGCATGAGTTGAAATTACTAGCTTTATCCTTATCTTAGCAGGTATGCAAATATGCTTTTCCGTTCGTGTTTGGAAAAAAATGAGACTTAGTATCAATAGACAAATTTGAAGTGTACTGTTGGTTAAGTCATTCTTCACCAGAACTTATTTATAGCCACTTTGAACGTGCTTACAAGAGAGTATTTTGCTGCACCGAACACTTGTTAGTCTCTGCTTGTTACTCATGAACTACTTTGTTCCTAAGACTATGGCTCATCACAAAGGGAGTGATCCACCAAAATAGGTCACTTCTCACCTTGACCGTTTGCCACAGGAAAGGCATCATTATTTCATTCTGATTTTTTATAAATGCAGAACTGGACGTTACAGAAGGCAATTGGTGGCACTTCGGCGAGGCAATTTGGCTCTGCCTAGCCAAGTAACAGCGTTAGTGAGTTCAGAGTTTCTGAATAAAGCAAGAAGTATGTTTACTACAGAGAACAGCAGTAGAAAATCCTTGCCTTTACAAAAAAATAACGGCCCTGAACATTTCAGTGCTTCTCCTGACCATTACATATATGCAGCAATTTAACCAGCAGTGAAAGTATTCTTCAAGTTTTCCTACAAATAGAAGAATGACAATAAACCTCAAGTTAGGAGCATGACAGAGCTCTTGCCACTGAACTTGTTTACAGTCTCCTCTTATCTTTTTGTGCTTTGATTCAAATATGGAAGTTCACTGACTTATTTAATATAAATTAACACAGTGGGCTAAATTGTCATTTTAGATGATACCAGTGAGCTGCCCAGCAGTATTCCAGATACAGCGATACAAGTAAAAATACAGGTCCAGTAAGGCAGCCAGGTCAAAAGCAACTTATGCAGAAGAGACAGACTCCTTCAGATTATTTTGTCCTTCCTCATTTGGTAACACCTCACCTTTACAGAACAGCCGCTTGCTTCTCATGATGCATACTTTCGGATAGTAGAACCATTTTCATTTTAAACCATGTTCTCCCTTGAACATTTAAGTCATCTTATTTTCCCCTTCTATGACTAAATTAAAAAAAAAAAAAACCCAAAACAAAAAAAACAAAAAACCGAAGCCAAAAACACAAAACCACACCACAGAACTGAGCATACAAAAAAATCCCACCACCCAAAAAACTCTTCCCATTCCACTAGAAATTTAACTTACATATGTATCTAACAAGGGCTCTTTATTTTCTTGCTATTCCTTCTCCCTTTCCCTAGCTTTTCTTTTTTCTTTTTGCAGCTATGAACAGAGCAGTAACTCTCAAACTTTTGAGAGTTGAGCAAAATGTAGCAAAACACATTAAATTTCACTGCTGTTTAGCATGAGGATTAATTTTCCATTAGCCCTCCCCCGAAATGCTTGCATCTCTGCTGCACCGTTCTCCATTCAGAAAAAGCTGCCTTTGCATTTGCACAAAATACCAAGTGTAACCTTGTGCTGACAGACGCAATTAGCCCAAGGTCAGTCAAGGATAGGGAAGCAGCAGAAAGAAGCAACCCAGAGAAATTCTATAAAGCTAAGGGAAGGTGGGCCTTTAACCACTCAAGGGTGACTTTTTTTTTTCTGATCGTTCATTAAGTCTTGTTTCTGATGTACCTGCCTTCTTTAAACTTAAAAACAGCCCATCCTTCCCAATTAAAAAAAAAAGAAATTAATATACTTCAAATTACCCATCTGTTACGCGCCACCAAGGACAAATGCCACTTTCAGGGATCCCTCCGAACCTCGTGTTTAAGTGTGAAGCAGCCAGTCATTAAACACCGATGATGCGGGTTTCTTCACGGCTGAGATGCAGCACCTGGCACTTTCAAGCACCACTTCAAAACCAAAATACTTCCATACTTCCTGAAGGTGCTCTGCAGATCACCAGCTGCCCACAAACACTCTAGCTACATATGTTTGAGTGTTCGACCATTCTAATTTTAAAAAACGGGTTCTAGAACTTGATGCAGCGCTTTGAACATTTCTCTGAAAACTTGGTGCATAGAGGAGAAAAGATAGGAAAGCATCACATTTGCAAAGGACTTTTGAGAAAACAGCAACGTGAAGTGAATCAGGAAGATAGCACGTATCGTTAAACTTCACCCAAGCAGATTTTCTGTTGTTAAATGCTTCTAACAGAACTCTGGCGCTGAGTTCAATCTCCTGATGCGGTCAAGCCAAGAGAAGAATTTTGTGCCAAAATTACTAGGTTAGGATATTGTGCGATTAGTTTCTGCCCACCTTTTAGGCATTTAGTGAAAGGAGGTCTCCTAAAATAAGACCGTCCAGAGATGTGTCAGTGTCTTGTGATGCTCGTGCCTAAGTTAAATCTAAGCTAAAATGGTCATTTCAAGAACTCCAGCTGTCTAGGCAGGACTAGGCAACTAATCTCTCGGCTATCCACACAAAATTATTAGAGTATACAAAGCCCCTCCTCTCACAGGAGTGATAAACCCATAAATTGACAAACACTTAGATACATCATTTTGACGATTTTGTGAGAAAGTTCAGCCAGTTAAACTTCCCATGACTGTAGTGCCTAAATTAACAAGACTTTCATCAGGGTCCATCAGAAAGCAAATCAGAAGTCCTGTGCAGGACTACCAAGTACGTATCACTGAGTAACAATGTGGACTTTCCTTCTCATTAGGCTGCGAGTTTTGTTGCAGCCCTCTGCCTGCCATCACCAAAAGTGGAGACTTAGCTTAAATTTTCTTCCGAAGCCAAGTTCATGATGCAGAGAACGGCCTCCTATTTGGCTGTAGCAAGCCTATCGCTAGAGCGGCAGTGGCATTTATCTCAAAGCAGGTCTGAACTCCTATTCTAGTTAGCATAGAGGGTTTTGGTAATCAGTCTTCAATTTCTGAGTATGGAGAGGCTTGGCTTCTTTTCTGTTTCAATTAAAAAAGGCAACTGCAGATTTCTTCCCAAAGAATAAACAGAACGCTAGGTCAGGCAACAGTCATTTATTTATTGACTTGAACAAGCAAAAGGTATCCTCAGACATAATGGCCACCACTTGAGCAATACAAAATCAATGCTACTGAAGAACAGGGAACATCTTTTCTCTCACCCCTCCCATCCCAGAAGTAACAATAGAAATACCAGGGCCCCTAGAGAAAAGAGAAGGAGAAAAATTATAAAAGGCGTTTAGAATGAGCTGCAGAGTTAAAAAAGGACACTAAAAAAAAAAAAAAAAAAAATCATTAGCTAATCCACCATATCACCACAATCACCTCAAAAATAACTTTCCTTGTTCCATTTCTACCAGGTACCAAATATGTAGCGCTGTTTAACAGCGATTTCAGTGTATTAACAACTGTCCTCAGCTGAAGCAGAACAGCAATTACTATTTATATTAAATTTGAGGCTGCAGATAGAAAGAAAAGCTTCCACAGAGTACGATGCAAGTTAGAGAAAGGAGAGCAGGGTAGAAACAACGCTACTTTTAAGTTACTGTACGTCTCTTATCAATCAAGCAATTCATTCGGTACTGATAGCTCATTACAGACACAATATCCTGACAGGGGATGGCAACGCTACTCACCCTGTGACAGTGTATCTGAAGGCTGTATCTGTGAAGAATGTATCTGTAAGTCCCTTAAGTTGTGGGTCACTGAAAAATCCCAGCCTGCTACTCCTGCGTGGGTATTTTTTAATCGGACATCAGCAAAAAAGCAAACAGGCGGCATGCAAAACAACTGCTGCTAAATCATTCAGTCTCCCTTGTTGAGGAGGTACAGTAACAGCTGAAAATAGGAGTAAGGCATTCCTCAGATTTAGAGAAAACATTAGGAGGCTGTAGTTTTGCAGGCAAGGAGACCTTTTATTTTAATCCATTAAAAGAACCCAAAATAGTCAGCAGGTGGCCACATCTATCCATGTTTCATTAAAATCACATAAACCCTAAGTACAAAAGCACCACTGATTATTGCTCTAGAAAAACTGCATGAAAAATTCAAATACGCACAGTAAAAACATCACCATATGCACAAGACTTAATTTCTTAAAGCAAGTGTATGGAATGCTGATCCAATTTTACACATACCTTGCAATATTAAGTTGATATTTATATTACTTGGCAACAACGGGAATTTCTAAAAGCACTGTTATGAGAAGGGAAATGTTCATATACAGTTTAATATGTCAACTATCATAGTCCTAAAAAAATTAGCATTTACAAAATACTTGATAAAAATATCTTTTAAAAGTTGTCCAAGAGGTACATAAAATCAACCCAAAATTTTCATGATATTTCATTCATTCTTGTCACCTACAGATTCAGTTTTCTGAGCCTGTGGAGAAGAAAGAAAGAAACCAATTACTATAGTAAATTGCCATCACATACCTAAATACCCCAACGACCCTCACTCCTCCGATTTCGTATTTGCAACAGCTTGGTTTCAAACCTGCATCCATATTACATTTACACAAACGAAACAGGTACATTCACACACTTCTCTCGAATTATTGGTCCCAGCTTTTCAAAAGCAATACAAGCCTTACCTGTCAGCTTCCATCGTTCATACTGAAAAGCACCACACTACTATCTGTTTCTATTCACTGCACACATGCTGAACGCTCTACCGTACCCTCAACTTTCACTGTTTCAATCTGCCCTTTTACTGACAGTGTGCTGGGTGGGGCACCTCTGGATGTTGAAACACTAACAGTGGAGCGAGAGATGCGAATCTGCAATAACATTATGGGCAATAAAAAGAAACATTATGAACATGCTATCAATGTCTGAAAGGCTGAATAATTAAAAAAAGCACTGATTCAATCAGCAGGAGGGATGTGTGTGGCAAGTACCTCTTCAGCTTTATTTTCACCATTTTCAGATGGTGTAGTACCTTCCTTTGCAGCTTCTTGCTTTTCATCCTTCTTCCCTTTAGCACCTTTGTTGGCCTTTGTCCCAGGTTCCTTCTGACAGAAGATTAAAAACATGGGCACAGACACTGTATGAGTAGCCAGCACCCTACATCTCTATCAAAAAAACTTCACATGAACTAAAAAGCAAATCTTGGCAAGCTGCGTGTGCTGGACCAAAATGGAAAACCAGCTAAAGTCTACCCGGAAAATTTATGTCCTCAGAAGTTATACAGAGACTCTCAAAATTTCTAGAATACGCTGACGTCTGCCTCTTTATTGTTGCTGCTATTTTACAGGGATACAAAAACCCTCCACACTATTTCGGTAGAGCTGAGCTGTATATACAGGGGTATACACAAGGTATCTGTACAAACAAATCCAATTACAGTAGATTGAAAGCTTATTCAGCCAAGCACAAACACCACACTGTTTGTGTAACAGCACTACACTTTCGATTAACATGAAGTATTAAATTAGATTAAAAAAAATTAAGCATATTTGTTGGCTGTCCTTTTGTTAGTTTGATAACATCTGTGATGTTCCTTCCATGTCAACGAAAGAAGCAACCAACACACCAGGGTGGCAAACACTGATAAAATTCCATCAGCAACAACACAAAGCAGAGAATTTATCAAAAGGAACTATTCTAACAGCTACAGTTTCACTTGGAGATTTGCTCTTAAACAAGCAATTCATATGTTGAAGTCTACTTTTTTTCCTTTAATGCTTACTCTATGTACATATTTGTGATCTAAGGCTAGTAGAGACACAGGTTAAGTATTTTAAGTGCAATGGGAATATAATTTAAATGGCATTTCACTGAATATTTTACATTCGTATTTAAAGTAGTTCTGATAAACACTGTGGAGATCGTCCATGCAATCATTTGCTCCAGATTCCCCACGCAAAATGGCAAAAGTAGCTGTGAACGGGGATATTAAGGTCAGTCTCCCTTCATTAACTACCTTCTCCCAGCAATCCCCATGCAGGAGTGAGGTGGTAAGGAGGGAAGGATGGTAATCCTAGTTCCAGGGCAGCCTGAATTTCAGCTTCAATGTTACACACACCGAGATGCTTATTGGCACTGTGAGTATAGTCCTAACTCTTCACCTACGACAGAACAAGCTAAAGACTTGACTTCGTAAACCTATAATCTGCAAACTTTTAACACTAAAAGTGACCTCAAATCTGTAGCATCTTCGGTGGTTTCCTAGCAGGCTCAGAGTACATGCTTGCTATTTTCTGTGTAGGAGACCAAGATTAATATACTCCTTAAAATGTCATCCAGTTAGTTGGGAAAAAAAGCGGATTCCTGTATTAAGAAGTTACTTAGAATAATGTCATAAAGGATTCAAGTCGCCTGTAATGAGCTTCAGATGTCTCTCACGCAGCTTAGACTGACTGCATAACACCAAGCTCACTTCGCAACATGTACATGAAGCTACAGAAGCTACTGTATTCCCTTCTTTATTAATGCTCTCTAAGAGGGGAGCAGGACAGACTCAGCAATTTCCATTTGATAAATCATCCAGTGTTCAAAGTCACAGAGTTTTACTTTGACACATGGACTTTGTATATTGATACTTGCCCAACTGAGATACCAATAAAAGGACTTGAAACATACAAGTGTGAGGAGTGCTAGACTCAGTTTCCAGCACGTTTTTCTTCTGATAAAGCAATTGCTCTTATTTAACATTCCCCTTGAGCACAAATAAATCTACAGTTTCTGAAGTACATGATTTATATGCAGAAATCCTGAAAAGGTATTTCAGACTCTAATAAGATTTTAATTTGACTGTAACTGGCCTAGAAAACCCTAACCATTCAATTTAAATACATTTAATTTCACCTTTAATTATAATTGTGCATTCTCAGCAACGGCCAGGCTTCAAGAACAGATAAGAGTTTCTCACTATGAAATTAAGTACTGCCCCTCTAGACAAGGAAACGGGATGGCACGGAGTAATCTCAAATCCCACTGTAGAAATTGCTGGGTCTCAGGTAGAGCTTACTCAACCAAACCTGTACATTTCAGGAAAGGTAAAGATTCTTCTTCAACTAGGAACTGACTACAAACTAACATGGTATGCATATCAAATAGGCAAGACATTTTGTTTGGGCCAGTAATGAGGCCAGGAAGGGGTGGAACAGAAAGAAAAGAATGATCTAATTTGGTTGTTTTTTTTTTTTTTTCCCAGGGGGTGGGGGAAGCTGCAGGCAGAGCAAGGGAGCCGATGCCTCACAAAACCGCTGTGAATTGGAACTGTTTGCAATGCAAAGGAGTATACTTGCTTACTATTGGCTACAATGACAGCAACTAAAAAGAAGAGTATTTACCTTCGTGGTTTTCCTTGGTTTGGGTTCAGGTTTTGGTGGAGCAGGTTTCTGTAAAACATTTTCAGTTGCACAATGTGTTAGACACATTACCAGAAGGCAGCAAGCCACCTCCACCCCACACCTTCCCTCACTTCCTCCTCATTAGTATGCATCTAGAAAAAGACTGAAAAACCTTAAATGCACAAATGCACCTCATCACTGTACACACCCATTTTCATTAGCTTACTCATCTAGGAGCCAAAGCAATTTGAGGGTCATTCGAAGAGTAAAACGTGGAGATTAGTAGTAACTATTAAAAAAACAAAACAAAAAGTCAGATACGTTCTAACAGAGAAGAGCAACTAAAAACAAATACTAGTCGTGGCATCAAATGAAGTCCTTGAAGGACAGCTCTTTCTCCTTCCCAGAGAAGTAGTTGCACTTCCACAACTAACATCAGCCTGCAAAATGGTACGAAGTCAATACTGCACGTAACACAGTGTTGCACTGAGGTGGGGAAATACATCTTTTGTCAGAACAACCTGAAACCTGAAACCAAGAAAACACAGATAACTTTAGCTCTGGAGTTCTTAAATATCCCTCAGCAAGAATAATCAAGCAAAATATAACCAACCTGTTTGGTCTGAGAAACCATATGTGCCTAGAAAAGTATACACCAAGAGGTGTTATACATACTTACAGCTGACAATCTTGCTGATCGTCTCGTGGGCTACAGAAAAAGAAAAAAAAAAAAAGGAGAAAACATTTTTATAGGCTTACAGCAAACAGTATCCAAAGCAACATAATATCACTCATTTCATGGTGACAGCATAAAATACACCCCTACCAAAAGAAGTCTCTATTGCTGAACACAATTCACATCATCTTCATCTTGAACTATCAACATTTTAAAGGGACAAAGTGATGTGAAAGTTAGTGATAAAAGTTGTTCAGAAATTATAATGTCTAAATCTCCATATGGTTAAATATCATCCCCCACACACGTATTTTACAAGCACTTCCGAGTCCCTTGCTGCTCTATAAAAGGTTCAGAAATACAGTAAGCTTGAGACTGGCACAGGACACTGAACCTTTATCGTAAATACTTAGAACGATGTTTCTATAATCTAGCAGATGCTACTTGTAATAGCAGGTAAAAATACCATCCGATTAACAGCAGAATAAAGTTAACACCCTTCCCTAGAGGATATCAGAGTGCTAAAATTTCAAAACATGAAACTAAGTCCTTCCACTTCCTCAGTTCCCCATACTCAGTCTGAGAGTCCAGGTGCACAAAGACAGCTGCAGGATTAGAGGGAGAATTTATTTCTTCTTTTTAAGCGCAATTCTGAAAAGGAAAGAAGAAAGCCAGATATTCGGCTTTCCCCCACCTTTCTTTATCACTTCAACATGCCTTATTAAATTTGATTTCACTCTGTTCTTTGTCATAAATGTATTACTGAAGATGAGTTAAGTCTTGGAAAAAGCTGTAAGCTCATTAGTTGGTTCACAATATTTTTGCATTCATTAAAACATATGACCCCATGGTCCAGTTACACAGTGTGGTTATCAAACAGAGTTAGTTTCATTTATGTCATAAAACTGGAATCACACTTGCAGCCAAAGTAAAGGGACAACTCAACTGCAACAAATATCCACTGTAACACAGCTTAAAAAATTAATAAAAAAAAAATCTTCTTAATTACATATTAAGCTTTTATGTTGAGCTGAAAAAACATGGCTCCACAGATCTTGCAACAGGAAAAAGCTGTTGTTAATATCTGAAGAATGCAGTAATTTGTATTCATTGGAGCCATTTAAGTACTCTTAATGGAAAGCAGTAATGAATAGTTCAGATCTGCGTCCAGCAAAATAGAATTCTTGTCAAAAAACACCTAGAGATATTTTCAGTTATTAAATATTTATGCATCATTAACAAAAAAAAAATAAAAGTAAACCTCTCTTTTCTTGGCAATTTAGACTATCAACTGCTTGTTAAGCAGCCTAGCACTATTTTACAACAGGTTAAATAAAGCATCTCACTTGGTCAGGTGATCAAAGAACTCCTAGCTCAAGGCATCTTCGTTTACAAATCTGTTTTCTTAACTGATGATTCCAGTGTTTGGGCATTGGAATGTTATGTTAACACCTACTTTTTAAAGGCTAATATATTGGTTTATATAAATTATAATTCTCTTCTATGTTCCCCAAGTGTTCCTGCTTCACGACTGGTTTCACAGAAGGCTTGTATTGCCATTAAGAAAGTCAGCATTAACCCTCAGTTCTTTAAAAATGCCTGATGGATAAGTATTTTTAATCCCCATTCAGAGTTTGTATGCATTTTGCATTATCTGATTATAAGGAGGGAACTGCAGTCAAGTCAGCAAAGGTCACATTTTAATGTGTGTTTAGAACCCATGTCCCCCTCCAAACAGCTGTCTGAGCTGGGAACTAGCAGCTCTCCCAGTTTGACACTGGCCCACTAGCAAACACCTATGGAAAGAGTCTATGAAATGGAGCAGATGCAGAACAACGCTTTGCACTTTCCTACTGCGCCAGCTTCTGGCAATCTACCGTTGTGAACTTTCCAACCTGGATATTATATCCACATCATGTGTTTAATAGTTCCCAAGGGTCATTTTTCTCCATAAATTTGTCTAATAGCCTAATGAACACTTTCACTTTCCATAACATCCTGTAGCAAAGAGTTCCATAATAGGATTATGCACTGTGTGGAAAAGAAAAAGCAAACCCCTCCCTCTCTGTTGTCTTTAACCTTCTTGCCCCTTACTTTCACTAGATTCCTCTTGTTTTAGGCTTACATGAGTAATAATTCCCTAACTGCCTTTTTCTGTGTTACTGATGATTTTATCACATCTCCGTTACATAAAAAGTCAAGAATGCTAGAAAATCCGGATTGTGGTTTGGTTTTTTCTTTTAAAGCTGCTCTGCATCCTGTTTGTCCCACTATACTTGGTATCCTTTTCATTCTATCACGGCCTTTTTAAGGAGGAGTCAGAAGAACTTCACTTAGGAGTCCCACATCTGGGAGCACAACAAATTGATCTTGTGATACATTGATGTTTCACACTCTCGTCTTTTTTCCTATATTCTAGTTACCTTTTCTTTAGAAGAACTGACATTTTCTAGTAAGTATTCACTGTGATTTCGCAGTCTCACCCCTGATTAACAGCGGATTTGGTCACTGTATCTTCCCTCCCCCCCCCATTATTTTGCATTTCTCCATACTGAATTTCTATTGGTATTTTGTCACCTAGTTACCAGTAACATTACACCCTTCTCAGTCTCTCTCATTTCTGATGACTGTGATAATTTTTTGTAAACTTCAGCAAACTTTGTCATTTCTCCAGTACCTCTTCTCCTAGATCATAAATGAATATATTCAGCAGCACAAGCCCCAACACATTTCCTTCCAATACTCCACTGATAATTCTCCACCATTATGAAAATTAGCTACTTCTTCCCTACTCTCTTCTCATATTTTTATCTGTTACCACCTCTCAGGAAGATCTTCCCTTTAATCCATGCTAGCTTAGTTTCTTTAAGAACCTGCTCAGGTAACCTTATCAAAAAGTGTTCTTTACGTGCACGTAAAGTAAACCATCTCAATTGGCATGTTATCATCCTTATACCTGTTGACTTCCACACACAACTCACCTGCCTGAAGTCTGATTTCCCTCTGCAAAATCCGTATCGACTCTGCCATTATACATTTATGCACATACAGTTTCTTTTCTAAACTACTTTTGCAAGTTAGACTCACAGGCTTTATTTTCCAGAGTCCCTCATCTAAAGTCCTGGGAGCATTTCATCACCTTCAGTTACTCTGGTACTGAGGCCAATGCAAGCAGTAAATTACATACTGCGCTTAACAGTTTGGCAATTGCTGGTGAATACTGTCTAGTTCTCACTCACACTCAATTAAAGAATGTCCTCCAACCCTATACCCTTGAGAAAAGGCTCCACTGTGAGAAACCTCCCTAAGAATTCTCCATAGCAGAAGTTGCATTACTGTTTTTCAGCTTCACGTTTGCCATGCTGGAGGGTTTGCTCCTTTCTTCATTATTTCCCATCAATACAAAAAATACCTTTCAAAAATAATAAATTTCCCTTATTTTGCTATTAAGTCATTCTGGTGAATTTTTTTTTTGGGGGGGGTGGAGTGGGGTGTGGAGGTTTTTGAAAAATCATATGCATTTCTGCAAGCCTCTAGCATGACGTACCACTATGCCCCTCTGCCATCTGAAACCACTAAACTTTTTAGCTGCTCCTTTTAATAGTCTCTCATTTTTAATAAAATTCCCTTTCTTGATATCAATTCTTACCGTAACAGTTTATTTGCACTTACAATCCTGCAAGGATGATGAACCTCAATATGTTATGGTCACAATTACAGAATAGTTCTCTGACAACTGTTTTTTTAACTAGCTCCTACATATTACTGAGGATCAAATAAAGAGCTGATTATCCTTTTATTGGTCCTTTGATTTGTTCCTCCAGGAAGCAAGCATTTATAGTTTTAACTTTTTTGTCTTTGTAATGCCATCCCGTGCCTTTTACCAAATCTCTGAAGTGTAACTGAAATCTCCATCAACTCTCTTTCTGTCCTCAGAGCCTCTCTGATCTCCCATTGCCACTTTTTTATTACTGTGGTCAGATGATACCTGGCACAATTTCTACAGTGTACACTCCCCACTCACACATGGCTTGGCAATACATAAAGGATTCTGCTGTACTTATTGATACAATTAATCTAGAGAAATATTAAAGATCCGTAACAGATAGGGAGCTCTCACTTCGCCCTATGTGCTCTTAAGAACTTGCCAGTCTCCCCTCAGATATTTAGTTTAAAATAGTCCAGATCTCCTCAGTGCCATCCACATAGGTCTGGTTTGGCTCAGACTGAAGCCACCCTTCCTACGTGTAAATTCTACCTATTCCAAGAGCTCCCACAGTTTCTAATCTAGTCCTACAACTACTTTCCTCATTCACATACCAAGAGCTACAGGCGTATCTACCAAGAGTATGTTAATTTGGTTTGTTTTGTTTTTTTTCCTCTTTTGTTTGTTTGGTGTCCCCCCCATAGCGTCAACAGTCACTATTATCTCATCTTGACTGAAGACTACTCCAAGAGCCCTTGTATTTCAGAGTCAGCGGGCTCTCTCCAGAGAGCCTGTGTATTTCTGTAAGTTTTTTGATGTCTACTCTTTATTTTAGCCATCAGGTCTCAAATTTTTTGGGGAAGGAACTTTTACTTTTCTGGCTCTTGAAGAAATAATATTTAAACTTGGGCAGAGAAAAAAAATTCATTCAGAACAAATGAGATTATATTTTTACCATGATTTCATCAGCCTTTCCATACTTTATGAAAAACAAACTAATTTGTCTTCTAGAAAATTCCATAGGAAGATACTGAGGTATCAAAAATGATTCCTCCCAGACCTATTTTTTACTCTGTTTTTTTTTCAGAGGCTTATTGTAAACTTTACTATTGCTTGAAATATTTTGACATTTCCACCGTACCATCTTCTTCTACTGGACTGAGCGACAACCAACTTCTCAATTCAGAAAGCGTAAAAATTCATTAGACTATTTTTCCTATTCAAATATGCTCAAAGATTTACACAAGAAGAGCAATTAATTGTTAATTCATTTAAATATTCACCCATTCTTTTCAAGGTCCTGATTTAACTTCGTTTGCCACAAAAGATGACAACCTAATAAAATGAATCCCCATAATTCTCTACCTGTTTTTTAAGTTCACATTAAGGGCTGTGACAAACAAACTGTAGAGGTCAAGGTATCACCAGCTGCCTCCTTGCCTTCTCTGACAGAAGTTACTGTGCCCTTAAAACAAATTCAGACAAAGAAAACACACAAATGTGTCAGCTGCTCCAGTTTAGAGCCTGGTATCTTAATTCAAGACACCCTTCCATCAGTCACTTAAGCTAAGAATAGTTCTGAAGTAGACTGGCTGAGGTGTGTGCATTAACCCTCTTCTGCCAACTCGCTAGAGACAGAGCAACAGTTCCAGGCAGTGACATCCTACACTGTTGCCACAAGATCCACCAGAGCCTGTCTATCAAAGCCGTACGTGTTTCTGAAATTTCTTTTGTGTACTAATAAGTTGTATGAATCCTCAGTGCACAAACCCAAATTATGCCAGATAAGCTACAAACATGGTTGTCATTGTTCCCACTGAAAACACCTTGCCAGAAGTGCCAGAGCAGTGCATAGTCTTCTGATATGCAAGATTGCAGATCGACAGTTAAATATGTTAATTAATTCAACAATTACATACCAAAAGAAATTTTTAAAAAAAGAAAAAAAAAAAAAAGAAAAAAGAAATATACTTGCCTCTTGTTTAGTTACTTTTGCTGCATCCTTGCCTTCAGCACCCTCTGGAGACTGAAAGAAAATACTAAGTCAGTGTTTTTATTATTGGTGGATGAAAAGCTGGACATGAGCCAACAGTGCACACTTGCAGCCCAGAAGGCCAACCATACCCTGGGCTGCATCAAAAGAAGTGTAGCCTCCCAGGTCGAGGGAGGTGATTCTGCCCCTCTGCTCCGCTCTGGTGAGACCCCACCTGGAGCCCTGCATCCAGCTCTGGAGCCCTCAGCACACGAAAGACATGAGGTCCAGAGGAGGGCCACAAAAATGCTCAGCGGGCTGGAGCACCTCTCTTAAGAGGACAGGCTGAGAGAGTTGAGGTTGTTCAGCCTGGAGAAGAGAAGGCTCCTGGGAGACCTTATTGTGGCTTTTCAGTACTCAAAGGAGGCCTGTAATAAAGATGGGGACAAACTTCTTAGCAGGGCCTGCTGCAATAGGACAACGGGTAATGGTTTTAAACTAAAAGAAGGTAGATTTAGACTGGATATAAGGAAGACATTTTTTACGATGAGGGTGGTGAAACACTGAACAGGTTGCCCAGAGAGGTGGTAGTTGCCCCACTCCTGGAAACATTCAAGGCCAGGTTGGACAGGGCTCTGAGCAACCTGATCCAGTTGAAGATGTCCCTGCTTATGGCAGGGGGGTTGGACTAGATGACTTTAAAGGTCCCTTCCAACCCAAACTATTCGATGATTCTATTCTGTTACAGACTTAAAATCATCCAGGGAACAGCAAAACAAAGATTACAGTGAAGATTCTTCTTCCTATACACTGCAGCAACTTAAAGAAGCCTGGCAAATTTACATTAGTATTTACAAGCAGCATTGTACCGAAGCCATTCTAGATTTTCCAGGCAAGAACACAAGGACCGATCATCACCAAGTACATACATATCACATCACATCACACAGCATCCCTCAGTGGTCCCTCTAGCCAATTAACTAAAGCATCCGCAGGCTCCAGTGGGAGCTCCATCTAATCAGCAGTTGGTAGCACAACAGTATAAAGTGGAAATCTGAGGTTTGCTCTACCAGGGCTTTTGAAATCCCTGAGAAATTTAACATGTTTCTTCCCAAACATGAACTTAACTAGCAATGAGATGTGATAAGGTGAACCAAAAAAGCATTACTGAAATGAGTGATTTCTTTACCTTCTTTACACCTTTCGTGCCTCAGGCTTACTCAGCTGGAAGCTTTAACAGTACCTTTCCCTTATCTCATCTCCTCCATCAGAACAGTATCAGTAAAACACCAAGACGCTGACAGAAAACTAGGCACAAACATGTTTCTTCACAAGAACAAAGTATCAACCTGGCCATTCTAATGCTGGTCTTCTAGAGAAATGTTAGTTAAACCACTGGGGGG